ATTGTTGAGAATTCATCATCAGAATCCATGATCACTTGACAACGTCTCACTTCTTCAGCGTTCAATTTTCAATAACCATGTTTCAAAAGAAAACTGCGTGTGTGCGGTACCTTCGGCCGCCGCGCGGCAGACGCTCGGCGAAAATGCGCCTCGTGTGTCTTTGTCCTAAGGGCACTGAAATTCCGGTATGGTTCCACATTCTTGACGCATATGGCGGCTCAGTGTTTTCTTGTGATGGTAGTTCTTGAAGCATTTCGGACAAGTGAACATCAATTCAGAAGCGATTGAAGTTCTTCTGATGTTCGGTTTACTCGAACCTGAAAAAACTAGATTCTGAACGAGAGTGGTACGGTCAACTAGTTTTACAACTCCACAACAAGTCATCACTCTTGACTAGCAAAAAAACATTCACTACATGCCTACTTACCCTCAGTAGCTCTTTTATCGCAAGATAATTCTATTTTGGACTATTGGAAGATATTCAAATGTTGAAGAAATATTCAACAATCTCCTGAAAAACTGAAGTCTACCTAAACACTGGAAAGCTATTACGAACACGAAATAAGAATGAAACAAAATAGCAGCAGTCGAAATTTATTATGCGATAATAGTTTTGGAGTGGCAATTTCAAGAAGATACAAAATATGTCATCATTGAAAAATTTTGTTTTCTGGATATCATTGTGGAATCAAAAAAGGAAATATTTCCTAATCAAGGAATCTAACATTGTAATTTTCCATTACTCTTTGGAGTGAAATTCTTCAAAGGAAGGTAGGAATGAATGCTCGAAGTCATCTCTACAAGTTCTAATCGTGTTGTTACACAATCAACATGTTTCGGTCTTATAAAAAAACATCTTCGGCCTAATTGTAAGTTCTACAATACAAAAAAGGTTGATGTGGAAGAATTACATAATTTGTGCTCAACTTACTTGGAGTCGAAAAATTCGATGCTAATAGTTGTGGACTTGTTGTCAATGCCCATAGTTCAAAAATCAAATGTATGAATGGAGAAACAGGTTTTCACTTCATTTATTCTTCCCATTCAGTAGCAAAAAAATATTGCAAATTGAGTGGAGTGAATATAATATTGGAGTACAAATAAGTATAGCTATTTGAGTTGTATCTATTGTAGCGATTCATTTACTCACATGTGTTTATGAAAGAGAAAAAAAGTTCTCAAAGCTGGATGTATCTGCGAATAATTGATCTACCAATAGTATAGGAAGAATTGAACATCTTCTATGTGCTCCGAATTTGAGTAAGGGTTCCATTTTAACAAATTTCTACTTCACATTTTGCCTTCTGGGAATAAAATACAACTTAATTCCATTTCGAAGTCTAGAAAATCTTTCAGTTATACAGGGTGTATCTAAATAACGCCGAAAAAATTCAAGGGGTGATTCTTTGTGATGTTCTATAGAAATTGAAGTTCATATAAACATGTGTCCAATAACTTGCTCCGTTTCTGATATACAGGATGTTGAAGTTAGAAGTATTAATTGTTTTTATTTCTAACCCCTCCTGTATGAGCTGTCATGATGGTTATTGGGGGTTATTAAGTAATCTCAGTGGAAGTCTTGAAAACACCTATACAGGCTGCCATCCACCGTTAATCAACCTGCATATACATTAAATTTGGAGGCAAATCGAATTTTCATTGTTTCCTCAGGAACTAAGCTATATACGAAAATTACACAGGACATAAAAAGTCGTTATTTAAATAGATCAATCTGATGAAAATATGAAACTCAGAAAAACCGGTGGCGTACAATGACATTCAACATAATATCGATAAATTTACCCGCACTGTGACGCCACTGGAAATATTATTTCGAATCTAATCGCACCAGGAGAAGTTCCATATCACTTTTAACTAAACCACAGCGTCTTATTGAAATTGATGAAAAAACAATTGAGTAATGAATGAAAAAACGATCTTCCATAGAAATATCAATACCCTGTATATCTCGAAAACGACGCAAGTTAGGACATAACACAAGGAATAATAATAATAATAATAATAATAAATCATTTATTTTCCTTTTGATAATACCAATATTATATAGGAATAGTCAATAATTGTCAGAATCAAAGATTCATAATGAGAAAAATTCTCCTACACTGTAAAAACATTTATCTATTAAAAACATTCTAAGCCTACGTTTGAAGAAATATGTAGAAGCAGTATTTTTTATTATGTTAGGTAAATGATTGAACATTTTGGGCCCAATATAGTTTGGAGCAACAGAAGTTAGTTTAAATTTAGCATATGGTACATGAAAAAGATTTTTGCGTCTTGTATCAATTTGATGAATAGCGCTTTTTACTACAAAATTTTGTTTGGTTTTAAATACATGTACACATGTTTCAAATATAAGAATACAAGGCAATGTCAGAATATGAAACTGAAGAAACAAATCCTTGCATGTGTTTCTTCTCGATACGCTACCAATTCACCTAACAATACGTTTTTGTGCAATAAACACATTTTTGGCCATCGTGGAATGACCCCAAAGGCAGACACCATACCTCAGTCTAGATCCCACCTGAGCATGATATAAACTCAGCAACTGATTTTCATCAAGCACGAAACGTAAATTCATAAAAAGATATGCCAGAGAATACAATTTCGAAACTAGCTGTGAACATTGAGATTTCCAATCCAAACACTCATCGAAATTTATTCCTAAAAATTTTACTGGATCATTAGTGTTTTTCAAAATATAGTTATTATGGTCGAATACAAGTTGATCTATCTTATTCTGACGATGATGAAATCTGATGATTTGTGTCTTTTCAACATTAAAAAATAGGTCATTATCATTGAAATAAGCAGATGCCAGACTTACAGAATTACTACATTTTTCGACCACAGATAGCGAATCAGGTGCCGATACAATCAGAGAAAAATCATCTGCGTAAGCAGTGTAATTAATTTTATCAAGAACGGAATCAATTTGATTGACATAGAGAATGAATAAGATAGGTCCTAAAATGGACCCTTGCGGAACTCCCATATCAACAGAGATAGGTTTGGAGGTAATCCTTTGTATTCCATCATGATTAGAATGTTGAACGGAGACGAATTGTTCACGAGAGGATAAGCCCCTTATGCCATAGATTTCAAGAGATGACAATAATTTAGTATAATTGACACAGTCGAATGCCATGCTCAAATCACAAAATATGACAGCAGGGCATTCGCCTGCTTCTATACATTCAATAAGTACGTTGAATAGAGAAAGTAGCGCTGAACTAGTAGATTTTCCTGCTCGGAAACCATGTTGATTTACACTCAGAATATCATGTTTTTCAATGAAAACCATAAGTCGATCTAAAAATGCATATTCAAATACTTTCGAAAATGAGTACGGAACAGTTACGGGTCTATAGTTTTTCAACATCTGTGGATCACCCCTTGTAGTTTTTTGATGTTATTTAGATACACCCTGTATACACCGATTGAAATTATCATTTTCATGAATAACATGTGGAACTAGGCAACAATGATTTAAGATACTCTAGTGGAAAGTTCAGACTAAAAATATCACCATGACCACTAAACTTTCGATAAATAGCTCCATGCTATCTTGAGTGTAAAACAAAGATTCAATGGCCTATAGTACATCACGAATATTGGTAGACCAATACATGGACAACAATGTAAATTAATTGTAGTCTGGAAATATGCTTCACATTCGTTGACTTCCAATGACTTCAAATGATTGAGTTGCATTTCTCAAAAGTCTACCTATTGTAAATATATATATAGGTTTACCTGATAGCATAGCTACACATTCTCGTTAATAAGAGGAAGAGAAGTAGGTACTTCACCAGAGAACAATTTTTGAAAATGAAATGTGGAGAATAGGAACCTATACATATTGTGAAACAGTGTCATTGAAGAATCCTCGTATTGAGAAAACATTGAGACAAATGGAAATAGAACATTGATATATTTCATTCATGACTCAAAACCACACGATGTCATATAAAGAGAAAATCGACTGAAGCAAACATGCACAATATAAGATTTTGTTATCTAGAACTAGTTCAACATAAAAACATTTCGAATATTTGTTCATATTCTCACAGAACAGTAGTGGGTGTTGTCACAAATAGACAAAAATGACATCCTTCACAATATTTCATTTCCAAAACTGATTGCATATTCTATTCGCTGAAGGAAACACTTTCAGAAGGATACTTTTTTCATACAGAAATCAATATTTGTGTTTTTCCAAAAATGAGTAAACCTAATTTGTAGATAAGATTTCTTGTTTTCACGAAATTATTCTCAACGCATTGTGATTGTTAAAAAAAGACAATCCCTATAGGAACTGAAACTTGTCTTCGTATATCTATGGACAAGAGAAAATTGATAGTTATTTATTATACAAGGGAAAAAAGTAGTAGATTTTAGCTCCAGGTTGTGTTGTCTCCCGACGCGTAGCGGAGGGAGACAACAAACCGTGAGCTAAAATCTAACATTTTTCCCGTGTATAATACACTATTTTTTTCTGTGACAGAAGAAAGGACGAATCAATATTGAGAAGATATTACATTATTTTGATATCTGAAAATTATCGACGTGAAATTTTAAGTTTTTAACAGTAGGGGCACCGCGTTGTATAGGCATCTTTATCATTCATTTGAAGTAATCAAATATCTGATGTCACTTCTGTCAGTCTAATTTTGTGATTTTATTTCAAGAAATTGCGAATTCAGTGGTTATTTAGCAATATACGTAACCGCGAAGTCGAATGGAAAATAAAAGGACTTGCAGTTCTTTCTCGGAGACGGTATTATTGACTCATTTTTCGGAACTTTAGCTCAACAAAAGCCATCAACAGTGTATATATATGTGATATATATCCGGGAAAGAAGTACTCACTTTCTTCCCACGGGAAAAAAGTAATTTATGAAAAGTGACATTTTATAACCTGCCAACAGGGATGAAATGCCAAACTTTTTTCCCGTCACAGAAAAAACATATTTGTGTATCATGTTTTTGTTAAGGTGTTTATGAACATAACAAGCGTGTCCACACTCTCCGAAAGGCGTGGAATGAGCTGTTCGTGGCACTCTAGCTCTTCCTAGAAAATCGAATCGCGAAATCATTTCTGAATCGAAAATTTATCAGGTTTTCCTTGTACGGCCAATTTTTCGCATTTCGAGTCTGCCCACTTTTTCACCATGTAGCACGAACAAGTGATCTTTCAGGGATATGCCATGCCTGAATTTTCTCTCGCAGTGATGACACTTGAACTGAGGTGGTTTGTTACATCTATAATACTCGTGGTAATTTGCAGCACTCCTCGTTGTATAGCTTTTGTCGCATTTAGTACATTGGTATGGTTTTATGATTTCTGAAATATAAGTCAGATTATCATGGGCGTCTTCAAGGAGAAAAATTTCCCCTCCCACACTCTTCTAAGTTTTATAACATCAAATTCATTTCAGATTCAACCTTCCTTTGCGAATAAAACCCTAGTCGAATTCACGTCATATTTGAATCTGATCATTTCATATGTACCTATTGATAGTTATATACAGGGTACCCGTTTTTCGAGCTCCACCATAGGAAACATTCATCTGCAAGAAAATTCGATGTGTTATTTTCAGTTTTTAAATTATTCGGAAAAACAAAAAAATTTAATTTTCGTTTTTATATTCTCAAGCGAAAACCAACAGATCTAGACGTTTCTGACTAGGACATTCTTGAGGCACTTCTCCACAAGGAATCTGAATCTGTCATCGTAGTTTCCATGACGTTTTTGATGTCAAAGTTACAACACTCAACTTTATTTTTTCTCATGAGCGCCATATCGGACTTTTGCTTTTTTGGAAAGTCTTTTTCATTCTGATTACAATGATGTATCACACGATACGATCGAATCCAGTCCAAGTAATGGTATGTTATTAACTTTAACAATGTGATATTCAATAAATTGATCTAAATTACCTACTGTTGTTTTAATTTTACATTTCCCCAATTATTCCAATGAATCACCATTATGATTTGATAGTTTTCCACTGAAAGGAGTTAAAAGTTCCTTACTACTTGCTGAAAAGTGATCAAAAATATGAAAAAGCAAAACATCTGCTTCTGTCCCTGTATCAAGTTTAAAATTTACATTTATACCATCATCCAAGTATCATACTTGCATCCATGATTTATGTTGAACTACAGAATCGACTATGTTACCTAAATAGTAGATTGTTTTATTAGGATCAAAAGTGGCACTTTGTTTGACAAGCGAATTTTGCATTTGCGAGGCGGAGCGTTTAGCGAAGCCGAGCAAAAGCAAAATTTGCGAGTCGAACAAAGTCACTTTTGATCCGAATGAAACATGCTATTTTTTCGGCAACCGAAACAATTAACTCAAATAAACATGTGAAGTAACCACCAATGCCGTGCCATATGTATGCAATGCAACAAATATTGACAAATAATCCATGTGGTGAGAATATTCTACCTGTATTAACAGCAGGTTAGGTTTTCTAGGATGTTCGAATTGTAGTTTCAATATAAATACAACCACAGAGTGACATATTTGTGTATGGACCATCAGGTGCTCTAATGGCAAATACCGCGCCAGTGCCAGCTATAGGAACAATACGTGGAAAATGTTAGGTTAGTGAGCATATCAACAATGATAATAGTGATTATTTATTCCTCTCCATACTACACTGTGTTTGACTTGATAATCAAATGAAGCTAAACAATATCGTTGTTCGAGACAAAAATACTATTGCTTGCCGTGATTATTCAAAAACAAGTTATCCATCCCGAGAATAACGAATGAAATACAGATCAAGCAAGTATTTGAATCTTGAAGGCTTCCCTGATCAAAACAAGAATACTCAACTGAGATGTTTATAATTCCAATACTCAACTATAATAAGGTGTATTTATATCTCCAGCATGGGTATGAAATGCCAAATCTGCTGAAATCGAAAACAAATCAGGAATGCGTCTCAACCCAAATAACCAACCGTTACAATGTTGTTTCTTCTTGATGACGTCCAGTAGATCCTTTTTAGTTCCTAGGAGCTAAAGATCAACTTTAGCTCCTAGGAACTAAAATTCAACTTTAGCTCCTAGGAACTAAATATGTTGACTAGCAACATACCTATTTTTGTGTCAGTAATAGAAACGTCAATTTAAGAGTTAATTTTGGTATCAAAATGGACGACTTTAGTGTCGGTTGCAGAAAAAATAAATTATCTTCTAGCTGTTCTTCTTGTTCATCACCCAGTTGATCCACACTATGGACTGCACCAACTGACCTGCATTCTCTGGCATTCTTGCATTTGTTACAGATAACATCCCTAGCAGGACACCTATTTCTATCCCTTGGGTGATCTCCTCCACAACAATAACGAGCGCCTGTCTTCATTTCTTTCTGGTGATATCTCATCTGGTATGACCTGCGCTGATCTCTAGGTACAGGTGCAGTACGACGAACTGCATCAACTTCCACATTAGAGTTGACAATTTCATTCAATTGTTTACTTGCTTGCTCTGCTGCTTTACAAAGTTCCACTGCTTTCTTCAATGTCAAATTGGTTTCTCTGAATAGACGATCCTTTAGATTTCTATCTTGAATACCCAGCACAATCCGATCTTTGATGAGGCTATCAGTAAGTGTACTGAACTCACAAGTGCTACTCAACCTGCGTAGCTCATTGACATACTCATCTATTGATTCATCAGCCTTCATATTCCGCGTGAAGAACACATTCCATTCATAGGTTACATTCTTGGTGGGAATGAAATATTCATCAAGCTTTTCTATTATCTTCCAGTAGACATTTTTATCTTCTGCTGTCTCGAATTGGATGTTGTTATATATCTTGATTACTCCATCTCCCACTGTATTCAATAACACAACTGCCTTATATGAATCATCCTCGCCTATCAGACGGGCTGCTCGAAGGTAAATTTCAAACATTTGCTTGAAAAACTCCCAACTATTGGCAAGGTTGCCCTTGAAAGACATTGCCTTTGGAGGATTTGCCGATGCCGTTACTAACGGTGGTGGCGTCATGTTCAACACTTTCAGTTACCTTATTTGTCGAGTTATTGATGCTATTGTGCTTCTCTGGATTATCTTTGTAGTGCAGAAATATCTATCCTACCGACTGCGCCATGTTGTTGTTGAACCTGAACTACCATTATTTCTTCAATTGTTTAATGGATGATCTTTCATTAAATATATATAAAATCTCGACCACCATCTTCTATATGTCTCTATCCACCCAAACCAACCTTGACCATCTGACATCTGACATTTACATCTGACATAGACATCTGACATTTAGGATGAGAGACAATGTTGCCACCCTGACAAGAACAACCATAATCGCCACTGAGGAATCTGAGGAGACGCTTAGAATCGTGTTTAGAAGTGGAAGGTAGAGTATTCGAGCATCTTCTATAATTTTGTTTCGTGTTGTATTGCGAAAGATAAACTTCTAGCTCATTACGTCGTTACCAATTCATAAACCATAGTTTTTAAGTAGATGAGCTCGACGAAAATGTTAACGTTGTAGATCCAAATTCGAATAAACTGTCGAGATTCATCTTGTTAAACAAAAATGTTGGCATCCTTTTCAAAGCAAAATTGGTTTCCATCATATCGTGTGATACATCATTGTAATAAAAATCAAAAGTGAAAAAAAACTTTTTGATGAAAAGCTTTCATTTATAAACGCTCTGAAAAGGAGAAAATAAAATGTTTCTTAATAATTTTAACTATCAACTTATAACCTCACTATACACAATTTATATGTTCATAAAATTTTTTCGCGCGATTCACTCGTGTGAATGAACTGGTACTTATTTAATTATGTAAAATCTGCTGGGATAAAATGTTTAAAATTACAATTTAATCAAATTTTGATCATCGCGACAAGCTTTCATGATCATATAAATTGTGTATTGGGGTTATAAGTTGATAGTTGAAATTATTAAGAAAAATTTTATTTTATTCTTCTTAGAGCGTTTAAATGAAAGCTTTTTTTACTTTCAATTTATTTTTTAATTTTTAGTTATCGCTAGCTGAATTTCTCGATTTACTCTCAACGAGCCTTTTCATTTGATACCCATATTGTAGAAGTATATTGAAAATGACCATTCCGTCATCTTGGATGGTCCGCCATAATGGATTTAGAATGACGTCACATCATTTTTCGAGTTACTCTCAACGAGCCTTTTCATTTGATACCCATATTGTAGGAGCATATCAAAATAGCTATTCTGCCATCTTGGATGGTCCGCCATATTGGATGCAGGATAACGTCACATTATTTCTTGATTTACTCTCAACGAGCCCTTCCATTTGATACCCATATTGTAAAAGTGGATTGAAAATGACCATTCCGCCATCTTGGATGGTCCGCCATATTCGATTTAGAATTATGTCATATCATTTTTCGAGTTACTCAACGAGACTTTTCATTTGATACCCATATTGTAAAAGTATATCAAAAATAGTTATTCCGCCATCTTGGATAGTCCGCCATATTGGATTTAGAATAACGTCACATTATTTTTCGAATTACTCTCAACTAGCCCTTTCATTTGATACCCATATTGTAGAAATAGAGTAAAAATGACCATTTCGCCATCCTGGATGGTCTGCCATATTCGATTTAGAATGACTTCACATCATTTTTCGAGTTACTGTCAACGAGCCTTTTCATTTGATACCCATATTGTGAAAGTATATCAAAAATAGCTATTCCGCCATCTTGGATAGGCCGCCATATCAGATTTAGAATAACGTGACACTTATTATCGTGCATTGTCATCCAAACTGAACGTGTATTCGAAATTTCAGCTCAATCGGTTGAAGATTTCTACTTCAAAATTGAGTTCAATGTGCAAAAATCCAATATGGCGGCCATAAGAAAAAACAAAGGTGTGTTATAATTTTGGCATCAAGAATATACAATCACAGCTTAAGTTTTCTTGTAAAAATGTGCCTTGAGAATGTCCCAGTCAGAAACGTCTAGGTGTTTCGGTTTCCGCTTGAGAAAATAAGAACGAAAATTATGAATTTTCGTTTTCTACCAATAATTCAAAAACTCAGAACACATCAAATTTTCTTGCAGATAAATTGTCAGCATGAATATGCGCAACTTTGCTCTGATTTAAGCGACCTCGTATTTCTTATAATAGCTAAGATCCCTATGGTGGAGCTCGAAAAACGGACACCCCGTATAATACAGCATTTATTGTTCTGAAATGATTTCAAATACCAGGTGACCAGTTATATTCTGACCCATTTCAACTGCTCATATCTTCGAAACCATTCAGATTATCGTTGTGCTGTTTGGACTTCTCTATTTTGATATTCTTCAAGTTTTTTGACTGGTTCACCTTTTCACCTGAACTTCCGGTTTTACCGGAAACAAACAAGCCATTATCCAGGTATAGGGCAACTTTGATAAAATTGCATAATCTCACTAAACCATTCGAAAAGCAGTAGTTGTTTCAAAGACTTATAACTCTAATAGTTTTCTAGGAGAACATAACTTGTTATACATTGTTAGATAGAGAAGAGACCAGTCTTCCTGAATGTGCAAAAATATACAGGGTGATTCAATGAAATAAAAAAGTTGCCCTATACCTGGATTATTTCTTGTTTGTTTCCGGTAGAATCGGAAGTTCAAGTGAAAAGATGAATACGTCAAAAAAAAAAACTTGAAAAACATCAAAATAGAATAGTCCAAACCGCACAGCGATAACTTGAATGGTTTCAGAGATATGAGCATTTGAAGTGGGTCAGAATATAACTGGTCACCCGGTATTCGAATTCAATAATCAAAATTATTAGGTACCTCAAAACATTACTAGCTCTCGATCACGCGATACACCATTAGTGTCTTATTGCCCAACAACCATTGGAATGTCTCCACATTCCACATAGACATAACAATTCACTTCACAAAGAGTAATAAATTCGAAGTCATGAACGATAATGATATATAACGAGAGAAAAACAACTACTTTTCTGGCTTTATGCCACGCCGAACATTGAACTGCATCCTCCCAATATTTATGCAACGATTCGTAAATCCTAAAATGCTGAGCTGTTTGCAAATTGTCCAGTAACGCTGAACTACCTAAAGACCGGTTTCGAGCTTTGGGCTCTCATCAGTGCAAGGGTGTCTCCAGATGACTTCTTGACCATCATCTGGTGTGAACCTGACTCAACCCAAACACATCCCAGCATTCCATACACACGAGCCCAAAGTTAAAATAATATCTTCCATATCGCGGAGGTCATACTATACTTTTTTCATAATTTAAATAAAATATAAAATAGAGACACTAATGCCGATGGCATAATTCTTGACAAACTGCTGACTATCTGTAACAAATGAGTCAAAGACTCTTCAGTTTATTCAATAGGTTGATCACTCTGCTCATAGCGGCGGTTTGTTTTCCACTGCTGGTGCCTGTATCTGGATGGATTTTCAGGAAATACCTCTGGATCACTTCCAAGGTGTACATCAGCTTTTGGGGATACTGAATGCCAAAATTGAAGAAAAGGGCGAACGCTATTTGGAAAGCTTCCAAAAAAGTTGTCGAAGGTTTTCCCAGCACCGTTTTATTGAAGAATATGAAATATTCAGTTTTCTCCTGATCACCTATAACAGAGAAACATTTCGAAACCAAAAAATACTGAAGTTGATTGTTCAATGATGAAAGAAAAGAAGTTAGATATGCAGCATGATTGAACCATATAGAACTTTTTTTGAATCCTTCATATACAGGCTGATTTTAAAATAAGTGCATATATTTTGATCACTAAGAAAGCTTGAGGTATACTACCGAATAGCACTATTAAAAATATTATCAGGATCAAAATAGATTTGGGGCAAAAGACCCTTTTTCCGCCCAGATTTCTACTTCTGTCACAACTATCGTTTGCGATCCGCAGTCGACCGTGATGAACGAAGCGACGTTGCCACTCTACATGAAAATTAGGAGATATTAAATAAAATGTATAATCGAGAAAATGTACATGGGGAAGAAGTTGACCCTGGTCTTGAATTTCAGAAAGATAATACAAAAACTTTAAAATGGACTCACCCAAGATTTCTACACATAAGCTCGAATAGCGTATAACTTAACACCTCACGGTTGGAAGTTCTTTTACTGAAAAATCCTTCAGACCCTTCCTTCCAACTCCTTGCATCGCTACAATTTCGTGTCCTTCGAGGAGTCTCATGGGCCCCGCACAATAACGACCCGACATAAGAACCATATCATTTAGCTCAATGTTTGAGAAATGCATCGTCACATTCCAAGCAAATTGTCAGAAACAAAACTTTACATTTACTAGTATCACGTTTTAATGTTTCCCAAAATAACATACATTCTCAGAACAACAAACTGTCAAGAAAGGATCTTTGTTTTGATTGTTCTTATGGTGTGCTACCAGCAAGAATTCAGATGACCATGAATTACTAATAGGCGACTTTTACGGACCAATCAGAAACAGCAAAGTAGTGCCTGCGTGGTTGCGATTCATCCTGATTGGGCACAGGTGATTGAGATTAATGTATTAGTGAGGAAGGATCATATCATTAAATGAAACTACCATTTTCATAAAGAACTAATTTGGAAAAAACATCTATTAGTGTAATTCAATGAAATGATACTTCCTCACTATACACTAATCCCACAAATCCAATCAGCTGTGTCCAATCAGGATGAATCACAACCACGCATCAGGCGCTACTTTGCTGTTTCTGATTGATCCTTAGAAATCACCTATTAGTAATTCATGGTCACCTGAATTCTTGCGTCCGAAACGGTCAGAAGCATGCGCAGTTTCACACAACTGTATGATTTTTTTGGGTTCTGTGGACTTGTGCATGCTTCTGACGGTTTCGAATTGTTTATTTTCTGAACGCGAACAATCCTACTTAGTACTGTCAAAGGTCACAGCAAAGGGGAAATCTATGGTCACAGATACTACTGTTCTGAGAAATGATGTTGACAGATCATATGATGATAGTTTTGTTTGTGTGGTTGCTGGTTTGTAAAATAATTGTAAACGTAAAATAAAAAATTAAATAATTGGATGTTGTGTCTTGTGTCGTGATAATCGTGATATGGTCGTGATCCTTATTTTCAATGTGAGATTGCCAGGAAGGATATGTCGTCGTCGAGTCGTTTTCGATGGTTCAAGTGCGAATATGAACCAACAAGAACACAGGACGATATTAGTCTGGAATGGATATTAGTATTTGTTTGCTCTCGGGAGTTTTGCTGTTCGAGCAGGTATGAGAAAATCTACTAGGTGAGTCGATTTTCAACTTTGTGTATGTTGTGTACCTATTTATTGTCTGCTAATTTTGTATCTACCCGCTGGGGCCTTATTTTCGAATTGAAGAAAGGGGGACGTTCTATCATTCCCCTCATGTTTCTCTCCGTCTCTCGTGATTCATGGAGATAATCACCCCACAGTTCTCTCAGTAAACTTTAAAAAATAAGGCTCCTGTACATATTACATTCACCTCTATTAGTTTCCATAACCTATTCCAACTCATATTCATTCTGTGACAAATTTTTATCAGGATATTCGTCTCTGAAACAATCTGGCATCACTGTCTTGTTTTGACGTTAGTGAAGGACGAATTGGGAATTCCCTGGTATTCCGCAGATTTCACTTGCTTCCCAGTGGCGTACTCGAATTTCGAAGCATTTTATGTTCAATTTTCAAAATGAAATTTCTCGTTAATGTGAAGACTAAGGAAAAATCAGATATTTTAGTAATTTTTGTTAGACTCTCTCATATATATGCACTCATTTTAAAATCAGCCTGTATAGATATTCGAATTTGAAGTTGAGCCCCTTGTAAAGAGAATACATGCTGATAAAAAAGTATCCAATTCCTGCAATATCATATTTTATACAAAAATATGTTTCTGTTTTTAGGTAAAATCGATAATATTATACCCTGAAGTGGACCGACACATTCAATGTCTATTCCATGAAAATGACTCAATGTAAATAATAGAATTTGAAATGATCACTATATTCATTTTATTCTTGAGGAGTTCAATATATTCAGATTGATTTTACTCACCAGGAACTGCAATAATATAAGGGTAAACTCCTTCAATTGCTTCTTCTTTTGGTAGTGTTTTGGACTCAGCATAGAAACAATTCAAATCTTCCTTGAAATAGACAGACAGTATTTTCACAATCTGTAGGAGCTCTTCTTCGGAAGCGACATCAATTTTCGATGAGTATGCTAGCTTCAAAAATTTCTGATACCTCTCAACAACTTTTTCTCCCATTCTATATAAATTCAAATTCGTCAATTTATTGAAATGCCATATTATGGCTCTACCGTTAAGTAGAACCGGCCATTGTTTCTTAATCTCGTCATAAGTTGGGTTACTCTTTATGAAGTTCCTTTGTCCAGTGAAAGTTCTCTCCAAGTTTTCATAGAAGGCATCATCCTCATCATTATAATCTTCAGTAGCTTCAGTAGCAGCATCAGCATTGTCGGGTGTCAAAAACATACAATCAGACCTGGTACCTAGTCTGTTACTATGATCACGTGAATTATTGCGTTTATGGCTCGGTTTCCTCTTGTAGGGTCTATTGAGATAGTTGTTTCTATCCTGCAGCTTCTTGTAGACAGAATGGCAACCATCGGCAATCACTACACCATCTTCATCGACGTCTAAAAACATGTTCGGGTATTTTTCAATCAGTTTCCTGCTGACCACCTTGAATGCGTATGTAGGTATGTGTGTTTTGATTTCACGCATTTTGTTCACTATGCTATGGATGATGTGCGTGATGACTTGTTTTTCTCTTTTACCTTTGGTGCATGCCCTCAAAACGTAACTGGGAAATTGTTCCCAATTTATTTCAAAGTTGTCCCAGGTAAAAGCATTGTAATCTCTGTTGAGTTGTCTTATTTGATAGTCGTATTCGATGACTTCTCCGATTGAAGTCGAAGTGGAAGTGTTCGGTTGGGGTGGTTCCCATTCCTCTTTGGGTTGTAGCAAGATGAAGACATCAGATTTGATGACTCTCAATATTTCATCCTCATCTATAGTTGTGCCATCACTTTCCAATACAAGTTTTATTCCATTCAGATATAGTTTTTCTGAAGCTGGAATGTGAAAGCAGTTGTTAAGACATTTTTTGAGGAATGTTCTATTCAAATTCGATTTGAGGTCAGTTGAATACGAGTGCCAATACACTACCAATAGTTGAAATAAATGGCAAGGAGGAAAAAATCGAAATATTCTGGAAAAATCATTCTCGAATCTATCATCATCTTTTTATTCTATAAATGTCCTTGTCTAATTGTCTCATCAAAGATGGTATGGTATGATGCACAATATTCTCTTTGAAAGAGTCAAATATGCGTCGAATAAAATTGGCAGGTGTATGAGGAGAGACCAATATGGAATATAAAGAAAAACCTTCTTCATTACTGAAATGATAAGTATTCTGAATATTGGCTATCTAGAAATTCAATTATTCATAATTTGAGTGGAAAGTGCTAATACACTACCAATAGTTGAAATAAATGCATTTTGATATTTTGGAAAAATCATTCGAATCTATCATCATTGTTCTGATTTATAAGTGTCCTCGTCTGATTGTCTTATCAAAGATGGTCTGGTATGATGCACAACATTAATTATGAAAGAGTGAAATATGCATGAAAAAAATTGTCAGATGTATGAGAAGATACCAGAATGGAATTTGAAGGTAATCCTCACTCATCACTGGAGTGATGAGTGTTCTGAAAATTGGACTATGTAGATATGGGTCCGGCAACAGGATTGAATGGTTTTGAAAAGGTTGCTGTGGAAAGACTGTTTCTTCAACAAACGTCGAATAGTGATAAAAGTATAGTTGACTATTGGAGATTACGTGTTACAATGGCAAATTGGCCGGTTAATCAACGAATCTTTGCTGTGAAATCATTTATCCAGGTCCTAATTTCCAGGTTTGGTGACATTGCATGGACCGCTAGATCACCGGACCTGACGGTCCCGGATTTATTCCTGTGTGGATTCTAGAAGTCCAAAGTGTACTCTACGCGTCTCCAAACACTGTTGGAACTCAAAGAGAAGACTAGTGAGAATTTGAAATTGATAAATGAAGATTCACTAAGGCGCATTATGGTTAATTTCAGAAACAGATTGCATCAATGTATAGAAGAAGACGGTGGTCATCTTTGCGACGTGATCTTTGCAAAGTAAAAGAGGTATGAGAAATTTACTGAATTGTGTTTCTTGTTGTGATTGTAATAAGTCCAGATAGGTATATTCTTCATTTTACAATAGTGGCTTAATGAAAACAGTTCAATTCTGTTGCCAAACCTGTTAACTATTCGTAAATTGGGTAGGTACTGCCAATAAAACCAATGATTGAAATGAATGCATTCTGATATTTTCGAGAAATCATCCGAATATATCATCATTGTTCTGATTTCCTAAATGTCCTTGTCTAATTGTCTTATCAAAGATGGTATGAAATATGCATGAAATGAAATTGGCACGTGCATGAGAAGATACTGAAATGGAATATGAAGGAGAATCTCACTCATTAGTGGAATGATGAGTATTCTCAAAATTGGACTATGTAGATATTCAACAATTCATAAAATGAGTAGGAATTAGGAAACGCTCAAGATTGGAAGTAATTGAACGGTGTAAGCATATATAGCTAATATGAAACATCCTTATCAAAAACATTCAATATACGAACCTTTCCCAATGAGTTTATTGAGTAAGTTGTCTTCTGATTCTTCCAATTTCACAATTGTTTTTAAATCCCTGCTCTTATTCCAAACCTTGAAAAATAGGACATCCACTGCAAATTCTGAAATTAAATCACTCTTATAAAAATATATAATTATTCAAATTCCATGTACTATGAATGTACAGAAATATTATTTTTTACAATAAGGAAAAGGCAATATATACAACCACAGATTCAGAGATCACAGTCCGGAGAATATATTTATGATTGGAACTCTGAACAGAGACTCATCCCCAATTCAAACTGTGAATTCAAGTCTAATGATCTTGTAGATGAATCGTATGAGGCTATACCGGGTGATCAAGAACCAATTTATATCTTCGTTACCATATTTCGAATGAATTTTTCAAATTTGGTACATTGATTCAATTGCATGAGTGTATAATATTCGGCCAAGTTTTAGTGAGTACGCCATTTAATTTATTAGAAAAATTTAATGACAATGGATTCGACGTTTTGTCTTGTTCAATTCTCTTTCGAACTAAACCTGTCAATTGAATCTGTCCATTGATACCAGACATTTTTTAGGAAACAAGATGGGAACCAAATTAAAATTTTCTGTTTTCTTATTTACTTTATGCACTAGCGGGCCGTAAAGTGCACTTTACCGCCCGGTTTTGCGGGCGTTAAGTTGCACTTTACCGCCCGCGGGCTCATTATGGCCCACGGGCCGTAAAGTGCACTTTAGCGCCCGCTGTTCTTAGTTTCTGGATATCCCCATATCGATTCATGAAAAACATATGATCATTTTTCTAGATTCTAATATATCCAGCGGTATATCATGAACTTCTTCTTTATCCGATTCCATAGTCTGGCTATTAGTATTATCACTAATTTTTACTTTTCAGTCAAAGAATGACAATTCAGCTTGTTTATTGAATGTACTGGTATAGAGTATAGACAACAACCTTTCAGCTTGCTTGACAACGTCAAAATTAGGTAGGTATATATACTGGGTATGCATATTGTGAAATTCTGAAGAATGAATCTCTTCTAGAGACCAAAGAGTTTTACTATTATGATAATTGCAAAATCCGTAGGTTAATTTTTATATGTAAATCATCCATGAACATTACGCTTCTCTTGATTACTGAGTTTATAGGTAACAAATTAAATTCGAGAGAATATTAGTTATAGTCATATAGTTATAGTCATTACTCTTGAGTCAGAAAATAAACCACTAGTGCATAAAATTTTGTATGTATCACGTGCGTGAAATGCGTTTATGGCCTTCTCAGCGTGTAATGGCCCTCGGCTGGCGCCATCGGGCCATTATTCACGCCACAGGCCATAAACGCCTACTTTACGCCCTTGATACATAAATAACTATTAAATGAAGATATTCTCCATCATGCTATATTTCTCATGCACATTGTATTGAACTTTTCAACTTCATATTGGTTGGCTATGGTATATGGAATTCCTTCTATGGGCTGTAATTATTATTGAACTTGCAAGATCTGACGAAACGAAATTTGATAAGTCGATAATTTTCCTACAAGTTACGAAGGGAATATAAAAAGTTGTTTTTATGAAATAAAGTTCAGTTATATATGAGTAGATTTGAAGTATGATTGTGATATATCGTTGGAAGGGTAATTCAATACTGAGTCGTTATTTTCAGATAGAAATCATACTTTGTATTCAAAATAAAAAGAATTGGATGCACATCCGGTCAAACCTGTGTCATATTCGGTATGATACTCGCGAAATTATGAACTCATGAATTCAAATCTATGTACCAAATTTGGAACATCTATGAGAAATAGCAACGAAGATACAGGGGGGTAAATTGGTTCCGGGTCACCCGGTATACAGGGTCCTCCAACTCACCTCCCGTCTTCTATACCTCAGTTATTAATTGAGTCAGGATTCTGAATATTCCGCAGACTTCAACTGTCTCATAGGGCACATACCAGGAAAATATTTTCGATTATACAGTGTTTTCAAAAAAAGTGTGGTATACTTTTTTAAATGGCATGCCATATATTTTGGTGCAGATTTTGGTGCTCCTTGTGGTTACCTTCATACTCCTAGAATTCTACTGAAAATATAACTAAGAGAAATCAATTTTTCACCACTGGTTGGAAACATGAATAACAAAGGAGATAGTGCCTCGTTAATAAAATCATGAGAGATTCATATTGAATAAGGCATATAAAAGTGTCTTCGACCGAGTTTGATTGAATCATCACAGGATGTGCAAAATTTAGTGACAACCTTTTCAAATTTCGAAGCACTTTATTTTTCTTATTTCGAATTGACGCTCCTGTATATTTAAATGCAATTCGATGATTCATTGAAGAACAAACGTTTTTTCTGATAACATCCCTATCAAGATTCTTATCGTATCGAAATTTATTTGCCGAGAACTCGGTTCATCAACTATTATTATGACCATTCCATCTTTGGAAAATTGAATAAGGCAGCTTTGATAACCAATTCATTGATACAACATGCCATCAAAAGTTCAACAGGAATATTCGTCTCAAACCAATATGTATCATGAAAGTATTGAAAATTATAGTAGTTTTAGGAATGAACTCAACAGAAACAAAAAAATATCAGTATTCCCGAAATTAATGAAGTATTAGAATTCATGTTCGATATCTCCAGGTCATCTGCGATTGCTAGTTGGCTGACGAAAGGATTTTCTATAACAGAAAATAGCACAGTCAATTGATTTTCTTCATTTCTAAAATTGTTCTAAAATTGTTCTAAAATTGTTCTATCCGTCATTCGGTTGCCCCCTTACGAGCAACCCTCAGAAGTCTTCGAAAGACTTGTGCGAGCAAGGAATGACGGGGGCCTTACCTTTTAACGTGTGATCCCAAACACTTTCGAACCGGTTGATTTCTTGCTGGATTTGAATATTTTCCATTTCCGGTTCGTACAAACCTATCCAATGAGTTATGCAGGCTTCTTTTGTCTGGATGACGTGCTTCCTCATAACGTTTTGCATAAACTCGACTTATAGTATCCATTCTCTATTCTCCTAATATTTAAATCAAAGCTAACAGCTCTTCTTGGTTGACCTCCATGATAAAAACAATACTTCGTTATACACAGCACAAAAAATTCATTATAATGAGCTGACATTGTATTGAACTCTAACTACGCATTCCGAAATAGACTCGTTCACTTCATTGAAGTTGAATGTCAATGATTTATTTTTCAAAGCCACTCACTTTATTTATTCTCTCAAACATAGTTGATGAAATGAGTTTTTGGCAAATATTTTTTGATACGAAAAGAAGTTCTATATGGTTGATTGGTTGTAATAAAAAAAAACAAAGGAAATATACAAGGGCTCCATCAATATTGAATAGGAAAAATACACAGTTTTTTGAAATTTGAAAAGTTTGCTAGTGAATTTTGCACACCCTGTGATGATTCCTGTCGATCCAACTCAGTTAGGGACCCTTTTAGGCCTTATTTGATTTGTATCTCATGATTTTATTGACGAGACACTATCTTTTCTGTTATTAATATTTCTGACCAGTAGTACGAAATGAATTTTCTTGGTTATATTTTTTTCCATGATCACTGTAATAATTCCAATCGAATTGCAGGAGTATGTAGGTAATCACAAGAAGCATTCAAATGAGCAACAAAATATAGGGCATGCTATTTAAAAAAATATCATTGTGACGTTACACCTTTTTGGAGCACCCTGTTCAATCCAAATTTTTTCCTGGTATGCGCCCTATAAGACAGTCAAAATCTGCAAAATATCTAAATCCTGACCCAACTTATACCTGAGCTATAGAAGACGGGAGGTGAGATGACGTGCAGGACCCTGTATACCCAACTATTTTATTGGTGACAAACACAAATGTTCAGTATAGTTTATAGTCGAATTGGGGTTAGTTCAAAAATTGGATTCAGGTTGGTTTCAGTTGATTTTGTTGATTTGGATCATTGGATGCATAACACGTAGATGAACGTTCAGCCTCTCTCGCTTGGTAAATATTTCTTCACATTCTTCACATTTGAAATGCTGTTTTTGGTAGCATTGATATTTCGCATGTCTCCATGCTGACTGCCGATGCCTGAACTTGGAATTGCAAGATCTACAAGCGTACCAGTATCTTTGACCATCACTGTATTTGAAATACTCTTCGAATCTCCTACCTGAAAACAAAAGACGTTAAATGAATATTATCCCTACAATGCATCCTGTTGCATTATCTGGGAGGGGTAAATAAACTCTGTGAAATGGTGAAACACATTGAAATGAGATACTTGTGAAGTACTTTGAAATGCCTGTGAAATACTATGAAATGCCAATGAAATAGTTTGAAATGCCTATGAATAATTACTGAAATACTTTGAACTGGTTGTGAAATATTTTGGAATGGTTATGAAATACTTTGAAATGGTTGCGTAATCCTTCGAAATTTCTGTGAAATACTTTGTGAAACCTGTGAAATTTGGTTGAAATACTTGGCAATACCTGTGATATGAAGTTGAAATACTTTGGAGGTAAGTCAAGTTGTACAAAAATTGATCTGCGTCTGACCAAATTCAATTCGTAACTTTAACTCAGTAGGTATGTGCGAGAACGGAAGATCTACAAATGATATCGTTAATAATCCATATAATGCAAGATTACTTATATCGTGTGAAAAATGTTCTATATATTCAAGTGCGACGGAATTTCAATATATTAGTATGCCTCGCGCCGTTTGGTTCATAATTATTATTTGTAATATGTAAAAATTTTACTGAATTTGTATAGAAAATTTTTTATATATGACGAAATCTTTATAAATTTGCGTGTCAGGAAAGTCTATATTTGCGCGTCGCGAAAGTTTATATTTGGTTGTACCAGTGTGTGCAGAAATAGACTTTCGGGTTCCAGGGTTTACCGATAGGTGGCTGAACGCGGCTGGACGTCAGCACAAAATGAGGTCAGAGGATCTGGCAACACTGATATTATTATATTCTGGTTGTGTCCGAAATACTCATCTGCCTAGAATGGAGAAGAAATGGAGAAGAATGAAAATACATTTTTCTATTTTACATAATCTTTAACCTCACAATTATTTTTTTTTTTCG